GCTACTTGTATTTCTATGTATCTCAAGATCGAACCACTCAAGTACCCAATATATTCATGTATTGTATTTTACAGCAGGTAAAAGAAGTAGATCAGCACCCAATCGTGTATTAGAAACTACATTAGAGACATGTAAATTAAGTCCTATCAGTAAGATTTCTAGTCCATATCATGAATCTCGACTAGCTGCTAAATTAAAAGAAGACAATATTGAGATGAAGAATATGACTGTAAAGGAAGCGGAAAAATATCAGAGGAAAAGATATGAAGAAGAGGTAGATGTTGTTTGTTTGTCATCATTATCTGAATGAATTGGCCCCTACACCCCCTCTCTCTTCTACTTTCACTTCCAAAATCTCATAGCATGTATTCTCTGTCTTCCCACATTCGAAAATTTTCTAGAGGGCCCCCCTTGACCCTCCACCATGACTAGTGCCCTCTCAAATCCACAAGGGTATGCCAGGGTGCTCGGATGTATAAGCAGTATATTGGTTTGAATCTGGTAAAAAAATTCATAAAGAGTTCAACAAATGTCTATAAAAGCTAGCTTTGTGGCATCCACAGTAATATTTGTAGCACTAGTTGGCTATCTGTTTCCAACATGACAAGTACCAAGTAAATATACCATACCCTATTTGTATTTTCAGAATTTAGTGATAGTACATGAAGAGGTAGCAAGAGAGAACTTATCTAAAACAGTTATACAAGAGGAAAATGAATCTTCAGGCTGGAGATTTGGGTGCCGATTTTGGAAGTGTTTTTCTTGTAAATCTAGAGACCGTAGTCCAACACAAGTTTAGCAATGTGAATTATGAAGTAGACATTGAAGTGTGATTCTTGAACTACTATTTAATCCGCAAGATGATGTATTGTTTGGTTTACTACTGTTGCAATCTGAAACTTCATGTTTTGAATTAAAAATGCGCAAATCCTTACTTCTGACTTATTATAATATAAAAATTATTATAATAATATCTTGGATTATCAAATTTTTTGAAAGTTCAGAATCTGTGTCAAAACATCTTACAATCACTTTTTGTCATATGTTTATTATGTCTCAATGTAAAATTTCAGACTTGTGACAATATTTTTTTGGTAAATTTTTTGGGGAAAACAGTGGCATTAAGCTTACTCTTAATCAAAATAACATGTTAACACCATTTAACCATATTGAATTATCATACAAACCACAGATTTCCTATACTGCTTATTTTACTTACTAATTATGCAATACATAATGAAGGTAATGAATAATTCTATATGCAGTTATAAACACTTTCCGTATCTTTTTGTTGCCAAAATATTTACTTATATTGATAGTCTTAGTACTTCAATTAATGAAAGATGCAGAACACACAGAAACCTACCATGATAATTTTATGCAGTATTTTTTTGTAGTTTGATTTGAATCAAAATTGTATTGGGATGTATGACAATGTAGATTTTTGTATATTATGATATTTATATATAAGTTCTGTATATTTCCTATATTTGATGGTGCTGTTTTTTATTTCAAGTTTGTATCATTCATTGAATCATTTATTTTCCTACTTTACTTGAATTTCATCATTTTTAAAGATAAACTCAAACTTCCATATTAATCTGTATTGTTTTGGAGGAAAATAAGTTGCCATATTTGCTACAATGATGTAGGTTAGCATACCAAAGCAATGTGTACTTTGACTAAAATTAGACAAGACAAGTCTTAATGGAACAGTTACATGACTTTTTACCCATGATTTCAAACGCTATGGCCATACATGTATAATATAATCTGTGTATGGAATCAGTAGCTGAAAATGATATCTGCTGAAATGTTGTATCTCTATAGTAAATATAATGTTAATTAGGATTAACTCCACCCCTCATCTTTATTTATATTGGAATAAATTGTATATTTGTATCATTTTTTGTATAATAACATAATAAATTATGATGTTCTGATTCTGTATTGTCTCTCAGATCTGATGTGTTCTTACCCCCATCTGTAACATATTATAGTCACTAGGTGTTTTATTCACATGGTAATTAGACATATAGTCACAATATTAATATGTCTCAAGGTAAATAGGTCACAGAGATATGGTCACATTGTAAATAGGGCACAAGGTAAATAGGTCACAGTGGAATCTGTTACACCAATAATACAGTGAGTAGATTTCAAACAGTACTCAGTTTAGTGAGCTGTTTTTATAACAGTACTCACTACCAAAAAACCAGACAAAATAATCCAAAAAAAGCTAGTGAGCTGATTTCAAACAGTACTCAGTCTAGTGAGCTGTTTTCATAACAGTACTCACTACCAAAAATCAGACAAAATAGTCCAAAAAAAGCTAGTGAGCTGATTTCAAATACTACTCAGTCTAGTGAGCTGTTTTCATAACAGTACTCACTACCAAAAACCAGACAAAATAATCCAAAAAATGATGGTGAGCTGATTTCAAATAGTACTCAGTCTAGTGAGCTGTTTTCATAACAGTACTCACTACCAAAAACCAGATAAAATAATCCAAAAAAAGCTAGTGAGCTGATTTCAAATACTACTCAGTCTAGTGAGCTGTTTTCATAACAGTACTCACTACCAAAAACAAGACAAAATAAGTGGAAAAAAGCTAGTGAGCTGATTTCAAACAGTACTCAGTCTAGTGAGCTGTTTTCATAACAGTACTCACTACCAAAAACAAGACAAAATAAGTGGAAAAAAGCTAGTGAGCTGATTTCAAACAGTACTCAGTCTAGTGAGCTGTTTTTATAACAGTACTCACTACCAAAAACCAGACTGTGTCTGTTACTCAGTAGGTCAATTGTTCTTGTATAGATCAATAAAATTATGATTGGCAAAAGGATTTAATGTGGATGACGGACTCCTATAGCTGCTGTTATATTGTATTGTGTGCTAAAGCAGAGGGCAGTACTACATGCTTTTATAAATCAGTTGACTATTGAGCTGGGAAGAAAAATATGCCAGGATAGAATTCTAGAAAATGTTTATTTGTCATGTTAATATACATATAAAACAAATTATATTACATTTAATATACACTTGATTAATATCAAATATTGTTAGTATTCACATTAATAATAAATAAATATCTCACAAAAATCATATCTGATTTCTCTTTCAATTTCAACTATTACATTAGTCTGATGAATAAAGCCTGTAAGTTTGTCAGTTTGTGTTTATTGGACTGTTTATGATATATGCAAATAACATTATAATGGCAATAGGTGAAAAATAAGAACCACATTTCTTACATGTCATTTAAACAACATGAAAAGGTTGAAAATGTTGACAACATTGTTCTTGACAAAGCTTAAAACAATAATTTATAAATATCTCAATATCCTGATATTAGCATATTATAAAAGATGGTATTTTGAACTATGATATACTGTATATTAATCTTGAAAAGCCAAATAATATAGTGTCAATGCTGAGCAATATTACTACACATACTCAATTGCTTTTGTTTGATATTGTGGCTTTAATAACCTGAATGATATCATTGTAAATATTGTAAGTATTGTTAAAATTATTGTGTTTAAAGTCACTGAACAAACAAATTTAGAACCTTAAAAATTTACATTAGGGAACGAGTATTGGTACAATGAAAGTTACTTCTTTATATAAATAACATATTAAAAGCACCATTTTAAAATAATTCATAACATAATACATGGTTTATGATTTATAGAAAATACAATTTAAATGTGGAAACAAAATATCCTACCCCACATACTATTGATAATAATCAAATTTACTGATTGATTTTAAATGAATTTAAATGACAGTACTGAGAAGTCTTAAAATGATTTCATTGATACAAAAATATAGACATACTTTCCTCTGACAAAAACAAAACTGAAATTGTCCAAAATTTTGGCAGGAAATTGTCTACTGTAAAACTAATTTCATAATGATACTTTATATCAATATCCATATCATTATAAATGCAAAATCATTCAGAAAAGACAGTAATATTAATAAGTACAATTTTATAAGTAGATTTCACATAAATCTTAAACTTCAAAGATACTTTAAGTAAATTTACAACATATTTTAAGTAATTTCTTGTTAACTCCATAGGTCATTTAAATTAATTGTATTAAACTTTGAATCAAGAAGATTCAATAAGATTAAGTAAATTTAAAGCAGTTCTCAAAATTTCAATATATTCTTTCAGAACATGCAACAAAACTTTCTCAAATAACAAGATATATGATAGATTGAGAACAATAGTAAGAAAATAATTTATCATGATACAAAAGTAGTATATACTGTACCAATACAATACTATACAATATCAAGTAAATAAAAATAATTTGAATAATCATTAAAATAATTGCACATAAAAACACAACCTTAAACACAGTTAATATAACTATAAATTATACCGAGTTCTGTAAATAAACATCTTTTATCCAGCACTAGTTTACTTATACAAAACACTTATTTCAAGATCTTTAATTGAGAAAAAAGAAATATCTTATTCATTTTCAGTATATAGTCAATCACATAAGTTTGGTAAATTGAAAAAAAGTGAAAATACAACTATACATACTCATTTACAATTATTAAGAAAAATTATGCATAGTCAACATTGCTTAAAAAAACATTACGTAAATATATGTATTCATAATCACACTTATCAATTTTCATTTGCCAAAAACAAAATCCATGAAAATTGAAATAAGAATAATTACAATCTGACAGATTAAGAATACATGTATAATTATGTAATTCTTGAGCAAGCTTTGCATATTTAACATAAGCTACCATAGATCTCTATAAAATCTTCAGGTGTTGTATGATTTTTGTAACAGGAATTGACCAAAGTCTCATTATTTTATTTATACCATGTATATAAAAAATTCAGTTAAGTCATAAACTGAAATAGATAAGCTCAGAAATTCTGAGCAACAACATGTTTCAGGTTCTGTTTTAATATTTCTACCTTGTATAGGTATCAACATTATCTATTATGATTTGTTTGCAAATAATCAATCCAATATTTTAGAATCAAAACAAGTGACCATCATTAAATGAGATTTACAAGCAATAACTCTCTTTTCCAGTATTTCTGTTTCTTTCACTAGTGCACCAATAATATTTGGATCGTTTAAGTCAGCATGCTCTGCCACAAATACTGAAAGTACCAATATGCAGCTTTATTCAGTATTCTCAGCAAATTTTGTGCAAAAATATTTTGCTGTCATTTTGAACAAATCTAGTTGAATTCCTCCAAATTATGTCATAAGATAACAAGCAATAATATGTTTGATAGTTAAAATATACATAGTTCATTTGAATAATTTACTATAAACTTTTACTAGCACAATCTTTATCAGCACCATTTCGAAAATCTGGCAACAAAAATTCAAATAATAAGAAAAAAACAATATTTAACAGAGATAGTGCCAAAAAAAAATAAAAAATACTTAACTAAACAAATGTAATTAACACTTAAAATATTTAATTTTTAACTCTTTTGGTTCCAAATTTCAATTAGCCGAGCCACTCACAATGTTACTTTTCATATTTAAAAATTGTGGTATGACTTGCTTCTAGTCAGCACCAAAGAGTTAAAGTGGATGTCTGATTAATCTGCAACTCTTCACTTTCGGAGGTAAATATGTGAAATTATTGCTGATTGATTCATTAACAATAGGTGGTTTCTCATGATCCAGTGTCTGATTGAACAGTAAAAATAGATCCCACGGGATACGCAATGTTTGTGTAAATAAATGAATCTTTTTCTGGCTGTTTGTGACTTGTGTGGGACATATTTCTCTGCAGTTTTAAGTATTTCATGCTTCAAACAACAAAACCTCATAGAAAAAATCAGACGTCCACTATAAAAACGAAACAACTAATAATTCTGACTAACTGACAATAGCTTAAATACTTTAAATGGAGATTTTTTCATGATATTTTGATCAAATAAAACAGTTTTACATTGTTTTGGATCTCATGTTGGTCATGTGAATTTGCATTTGCAATAATTTGATCACAAAATACAAAGAAAATACAAAGAAAAAACAAAAAATGAATTATGACCAATATACAATATGTATTGCTAATTTGATATCTTTAAAAGCCATCTTTTACAAGACTATTTCCAGGCTACACTTGATCATCAGATTGCATGAACAAATTTTGAATTTCCAAGTCTTTATGGCTAAAATCATTTCTTTTTAATGAAACAAAACATTGCTACCAGACAAATAAATCTATAAAGATGTGTATCTACCTATGAAAACTTAACAAAGCACACAGTTTGTACAACATTACACATCTGTTGGAGGATGTCTTGATTTACACGAGAAACACATGAGCAACTTACAATCAAAACTCCATCCTGATCGTTCCATCATTATATTCTCTTTAGCTGTAACTAATTCTTGTTTTAATGTGTCTTGTTTTGTGAGAAGCTGACGAACTTGTTCTTTGCGTGGATCTGACTTAGTCTAAAAGACATAAAAAGACAATTAGTGAGTGAATTTTCTAGTAAGTAACACTTAGTAATTAAGATCTCTAGCTAAATCCATGCTGACTGTCTCAAAAATTATACCACTGAAAATGGAACATCGAATCTATTAATTGAAGTAGTCTAGAATAAAGTTGGTCTATATCTAGTTGCCAAATTCAAATTTGATTATTATTTTAGGTTGTCTATATGCCTATGCATATCAAACTTGATCAAAATTAGATAACAACTGTATATTCTAAAGTGTTCATGAGGACATGTGAACAGATGGACGTACATGGATGTTGAGAATATACATTCACATAGAGAGATGTGAGCATTTAAAAACTTTCAGAGGCCATATATAGAGTCAGCAAGATTACCATTATTGGTGGAGTTTTAGACTTACCTCATCATCAATCCATTTTCTCTGTAATCTTTCTACATCATTAGTGGTATAGGACTTAATCTCCATTGGTTCTTCTTTCCGTTTAGTTTCATGATAAGACTTCATGGATGGACTGGATGGTTTTCTTTTAGTAGCTGGACTTTGACGACAACTATCTGGAGGACTATCTGATGCTCTACCAGGAGCTGATCTACTCCTTCTTGTTCCTGAATCAACAAAATATTGACACATAAGACAGTGTATTTTATCATAAAACAACCCTGAATATATCTTGAACATTTTGAAATGTAATCATTGATTTTTGTGCTTATGGATCTTGGTTTATGGATTTAAATATGGAATAATACATGTGAGTTTTCTCATTGTAGAGAGAGAATTTGATTCATCAACTATTCATGTATTAAATAAATACTTTGAATTCTACAACTTAATTTAAGTTAGATTAGACTATGGAAAACATTGACAAGCTTGTAAATCATTTAATGATTTGAAACACTACCTTTTAGAATCAATATCAAGTTATATTATTGCCTGATATGGAAATAAGTGCAGTAGACTCATATTTCTTCAAAGCAAATTACTGACACTATGTTTATGATATCAGGATTTGACACAATGTGAGCTCTTTTTTTTATTATCACCTGTTTGCATAATTTAGTTGAATCTAAAATGACTAATCTGGTGCCAGGTACACAAACCTGAATTTATGAAGCAGGATCAATACAAAATACATGTATATGACTTACCCTTTCTTTTTGTTCCTTTCTTTTTCTCTCCAGAACTTTCACTAGCACTATCATCATTCTCCGAGCTACAACTAGCTTCTGATTCTCGTAACATACTCTCATATCCACTACTAGTACCACCATGTATTTTATCAGATTTACTACCATGATGTGATGAATGTATATCGGTACTTATTGAACTACTATTATCACTACCATGACCACTACTAGAATGACTGGGTGTTCTTGGTTTGGTTATTTTAGAGTAGGGTGATAATAATTTTTTACTATCAACAGATACTATACCACTATCATTTCCACTGTCTGAATCATTGCACTGTTTTTTACCTGATTGGTCACTAACTTGTCCATTCACTTTCATAGCACTTTTTAAGTCCTTTTCTTTCTTTTTTATTTTGGACTCTTTTGTTGAGCCTTTCGAAAAAAGAGGTAGTTTGCTGTTACCATTTGGTGTTTTTGGCTTCATTGTCACCTTGACAACACCATTGCTTGAAGAATTTGAAACAGACCCATTTGTTTTGTTCTTTACTTTGTTATCACTGGTTTTAGAAATGCTATTGAGAACCAAAGATTTTTGTTTTTTCTCAGGTGAATTGTCTTTTGAAGATGGAGTTGAAGGGGTTTGTCGAGGACTACTTGGACATGATGCTGGTTTAGGAAGAGAACTAGGTTTCATAGCTCCATTAAGTCTATGGGGTAAGGGAGGTTTTGATTTCACAGTAGGTTTGGCTTTGTCCTGAACACAAGTATCTGTATTGTCAGATTTAGATTTTTTGTTTGGTCCCATTACAAAACTAGAGGTAGAAGGTTTGTCATAGACTGTAACATTTTGCTGCATAACATTGGCCACAATTTCTATCTGATCAATCTTTACATTTGAAGTTTCACTGGAGCTCTTCTCCATAAAGGTGTCTTTAGTTAAGTTTGGATTTGAAGCACCATCAGGTTTGCGTAGCAATAATAATTGAGAAGGCTCGAGAACAGTTTCACTTTTTGAATTGTCTAAGCTGCTGTCATTACTGACAGCCAAACTACTTAATTTAGCACTAGCACGAATCTCTTTTTCCAAAGTGTCACTTGCATCATTAAAAGATTTGCTACTGAGAGTTTCATTGTCTGTTAACTGACTGGAGAGAAGATGCATAGATTCCAGGCGTTCCTCCACCTCTATTTCATAGATAGAGTCTCTAGCACTAACACAATCACTAGTATCAACACTGTCATAACTTGTATCCACTATATTCACTTCTGGTTCAGCACTATCAAAAGTTACATTTAATTTCACTTTGGAAGCTATTTGTTCAAAGTCTGAATCATGATCTGTGTTTGTTTCAGCATCTGCCATGCACACAGAACTATTCTCCAAAATTTCTGGGATTTCTGTAGAAACAGACCTAACCCATTCTGTAACACGTTTTGATGTGTCTGGTTCTTTTGGGAAGATGGATGACACTTCTTCTTTCCTAGATAAAGCAGGAGAAGCAACAGGTGATTTGTAATTGGAAGCTACAGTTTGTAATTTCTTGATGACTGATTCCTGAAATTTGGGTTTGGTAAGATCTTCAGCACCAACCATCGTCTGTGATTCACTTTCTGTATGATGTCTTTCAACCCAGTCTCTAACAAAAGGTTTGACAACCATATTTTCACTGATATCAATAGTATCTTTAATTTGAGTGGTAGTACCATCATTACTAGAAATACTAACAGGACGGGATGAAGCAGCTTCCACATGAGTTGATATATTACTATCTGTACTAATCATACTATCTGGTCTAATTAATTTACTATCTATTTGTTTAATAACAGCTTGTTTTAATCCAGAACTTGAAGCATGTTTTAATTTTGGACTCGGTGAAGATGGTGGTATTTCACGTGGTGTTTTACTGCTAGAAGTTGTTTTATTACCAGTTATCATTTCACGAGGTCCATCAATCCATCTTTCTTCTGAACTTACAACAACATTCTTTAACTTCTTTCTTGAAGATTCAGGTTTAGGTGATTGAGGATGTCCTTTCTTAAACAACTGTGGGCCATCTACCCACTGTTCACTAACTTTTGTAGGTTCGGTATAAATAGCACCACCTGGACCATCAATCCACTGCTCACCTTTGACAGATTTGTGAGGGTCAGAAACTTTCTGTCTTCGACTGCTTTGACCATGTTTTGGACTTCTTTCAGGTAAATGTGGACTTCCATCTCTGACATCAGCAGGCAACTGTGGTTTTGAGACAAGAGGTTTGGCATGAGGATTCACATGACGAGATGAATATGATGGTGAGTGATGCTGTGGTGAATTGGGTGCTGAGTGCATTTGAAGAACATTCTGTTGAATGTCCTGCCTGATTCCTGGTGATGTCATTACTCTGTGATGATCTGAATAAGTCATACTCCTACCACTGTCAGATGCTGAACCTTCATCACCTGATGACCTTGACCCACCAGGTCGTCGAGGAAGACGAGGATTTGTTCTAGGCACAGAACGAGGAGGACCTTCATTGTCTGTAAAATCACGATCACTGTGAGAGTGTCCATTAGAACCGAGATATATAGCAGTGTCACAAGACTGTTCACTACTTGAGGTATAATTATCTGGGTCTGAAAGAGACGAAGAATACAAAACATCTTCTCGCAATGTTCCCATACGTAATCCTCGGTAAGGTCTATGAAAATTACCACTACCATCATTAGAACTGTCTTCTGAGCTTGTACTTGAAATCTGAAAAAATAAAGATAAAATAGTATTCAATTTAAAATCTGACATTTAAGGACCATTAAAGCAAATGAACCATCAAAATTCAATTTAAATCAACATGGCCGACTCGAAATTTTTTCAGAAACATTCACTGACATGATTTAGAATAATGTATAAATACATTTCTGACTGAAATTCTTTCCCAAATCAAAAAAAGCAGGCACAGTTTAGCTATTATAATTCGTATACATGTATTTGGCTATGTATTCAGTATTTATTGACAAAAAATCAACTATTCGGTCCTTAAATATATATCAAAACTACATACCTTAGCTTTTCTACGTTTCATACGATGCATTCTGGCTGCCATTTGTATAACTTGTAAAGTTTCTGTATGATGTGGTAAAGCTGAAGATACATGAACTATAATACAAGTTCTACATGTTGTATTTCCTAGTGAATCTCGTAACAACTGAGCTATCTTACTATCTCTGAAATTAGAAAAATGTATCATAAAAATCGCGCCTTAAATAAATGCTAACAATGAAGCAACAGTGAGGTCCTATTTGTATTTAAATTTCTCTATTACAGTCTATTTCCTAAAATTCAACCAAGCAGGGTGTATATTCTATATACATATATCTTGAGAAATCAATGACGCAATATGATGTTGTATCAAACTGACTACAGAAATGTTTGTGGCATAGAGGTGAATAGACAGATGTAGATAACATAATACATGAATTGATAGTTGGGTGGGGGAAGCAAATATACTCTGATCTTTATTATTAAAGTGTACCAAATTAGTTTATACAATGTTTAAAGAAATAATGTTTACTGAGAGAAAAGAATTAAATATATCTAATTTATTATTTCTATCTATTTTGTGGTTTTCCTCTGCCTGAAGTTATTCTTTGTTACTGAATTCTATATCCTAACATTCCGTGTGTTTGTTATAAGATAGGTGTTGAGCAGGGTATATCATTGTTTCCATTCACGTTCTTCAAGAGAATAATATGAAAATTCCATTTTTAAGTATCAAAATTAAGAAAATTTTCTCTTAATTTGTAGGTTTTTAACCATTTGGACTTTTCTTCTGAGACATTTGATGTGTCACAGACTATGAAAAGCTAGCGAACATCTTTTATGACTACACAATACACGGTCTGACATTTCCGTTTTCATTAGCCCACATGGTGCAGAAAAAGTAAATCAACTAACATTGTCTCTGGGTACTTTTTTCTAGTATGTTGTACTCCATACTACCTGAGACCATGACTAGTATCTGTTCTTAGTTTCACTTCCGGGTACATCTTTTTCATGCTGATATGATTCGGGGAAGCTAACAGGTTGAAAACCACTGTCTTAATGAAACTGATTAATAACATTAGAGAGAAGGTAATTTCTGATGTATTAACAGTGAATTACATGTAGCACATTACTTGTATGTATCTAATACCCATATTATGCTAACAAAAAAAAAACACATTGCCATGTGCAATAAGGAAAATTTTCTTTACTCTTTTTTCATTTCTAACCATAGTCTGTCCCTGCGACCTGCATCAATTTTGCAGGGAAACTGGAAGATTGGAGTTGGAAAATCAAAGATGTCATCTCAACCAAGTAAACCTACCACCATTTTGTTTCCAGCTCAGAGTTAAGGTGGTGCAGAATTCTAGCTGATAGAAAGATGAATGAAATAAAAGATGAATGAAGAAGATGAAAAAGAGAAATTGTAGAAATAAATGGATGAATAAATATAATACATCAATATAATATGATTAGGTGTCGGAAGAAAAACATCAGAAGACTTTCACGCCATTTATCTACACTTCTGCTTTTATGGTCTATCAATAATTTCTTGCCATAAATCAAATTTCTCTATGAATATTTCCAACTCATGTTAGTAAAAGTGTCACTTTAAAGCAGAAACTCGATGATTTTGGGATGGGAATGAAATTTGGAAGAATCTCGGAGGCACAATAAACAATCTCATCATTAGATAAATTGTATTTTAATGGTGTTAGTGTAACAAAATAACACTAACATCAAAGGAAATTATTCACATTTTTTACTATTTCACTGATATGTATTAGTTCTGCCTGAAGGCCTTTGATAACATAAATATAATTGACGACACAGTTCTTTCCTTTTGGGTGCTGACTTTGTGCAATGATTGTAATGCCTAATTTAATTAGCAGTGTGTGTGTGATTAGATGTAATTGGGTTATGTTCAGATAGAAGATGTAGTTTTGATTGTGTTTGTATAAAATCATTCAAGTTTAAAGTAATAAGGAACAGACATAAATAAATTACTCTTTACAAATATAAAGTCACATAAATGACTGCATTTACAGAATTAATGTTCCAAAACATTCTACAATAAATGCTTATCTCTAAAAAGATGGTTCTAGGAATGTCTTGCGACTAGAAATTATGTCTTCCCTGTTCAATGGAGTCTCAACACTTCATTCCATAACATAAATTAAAACAAGTGGTTCCTTGATACATTTTCAGTATATCAAGGGCAGTCACCTAGTCTGTGACCTAGGCCAGTGATAAATTTTGATGCGTTTTTACTAAGTTAAGGGCAATAACTCAAATTCTGTTGATCAAAAAATTATCAAACTTGTCCGAGATCTAATCAATATAAATGATCACACAAAATTTCATTAAAATCAGATAAAACTGTAAACTATATTGCGTTCACAAGCCAATTGTGGACAGATGGACCAATGGACTGATCGACAGATTGACCAGACATATAATGTGGGCCTATAAAAAAGCATTGTCGATGTTCTTTTCAATTATCAAATCAATTATTAGTCCAATTGGTTTGGAACTGGAATCACAGGATTAGTCACAGTGGTCCAGTGGTGTAAATGCAGTGATTTGATTGGATTATACACTAAGGAACACAGCCAATCACATCACTCAATTGAAAGACAATTGGCTAGGCATATAATTGAGGGCTGTGATTGGCTGTATTCTGTAGTGTACAATCCAATAAAAACACTGCATTTACAAAAACCTGTGATACAAGAAAGCTGGCCATAGCAGTCAAAGTATTAGATGCAGTTCGTAACAGTTTGACATTATGAAAATGACTTATTCATAACCAATTGACAAACACAGTTGAAGAATGACATAAGGTGATCAGAATGACTTACAGACAGGAATTACAATAATTTAGCGTTTAAGTTGTTTTGCTACATTCAAACTTTGGGATGTAATTAGAATATTTTGGGTCAGTCCAGAGAATGAAAGCTAAATTTGATCCTAAATGGGAAGCTAAAGGCAGTATGATCACTTACACAATAGGATTGGATTAAATTCAGCAACATCCTCTACAGCGATGATAAAAAATAGGAGATAAAAAGAATGCTAGTCTATTGTTCGTGTTAGATAATTTACGTGGAAAGTTTTATTAGAAGCAGACTTAAGGAAAGTGAATTGCCTCACGGAAAGCTTGATGTACGAGGCAAGCTGTGTTCTAGTTCGCGTTTCTACATCTACTTCTTCTTAACATGCTAACCTAAACCTTTCACTATGACATTTTTATGTCCTACCATGTAAGTCTATGTGAGAAATTAACTTTCAACCATATTGATTTTTTTTCTAATCAACACAGCCATTTTTTACACGTCAAACAATCTACGTGCTAGTTAAGTTTATTTGCGTAACCAATTACTAAAAAGCACTCAAGAGTAAGAGTTGGATAAGCTGAAGTTTAGTGACTTGTAATTAAGCAGATTTATTTATCTTTTTATGCTTTAGTTAATAGAAAACTTTAGTCACTTTCATGTTATTTTGACATGGCATGCGAACACTTCCTATACTTTCAATAAGAATTCTACCTGAGTAGAAAATATCTTAGTCTACCAGTTTCTCAAATTATAAATGAAATAATTTTATACTTATTGTCAAATACAATTCTACAATGATATTAAATGTTTTATCATGGATAGTTTCTGTTTTGTCAAAAACATGTGCAAGTTATTAATGCATCAAAATATTTTTTTTCCACATCTCCATAAATCTCAGTCATATTCTTCTGATCCATCTTTCATTTAATACTCAAATCATTTAGAAAGGCGGAAATATGATGAATACCAATATTAAATATAGCTCTTCTATCAATAAGTTCAGAAAAAACCCTTGTACAATTCCCATAATGCCATTTATCAAATTGTCAGGAAGTGTCAATCAAGTGAATGAAAAATGACATGAACATATTAAGTTATCAATTGAGACATATCTATCAATATACTGGTATTATAAAATAAATATTTACTTATTCTTCACCATGTCTAATTATAAACATTTATAATAACTTGGAAAATCTTTTTCATCAATACCAATTTCAAACATACAATTCTGTATTTTTTCACTGTTTGCAGCAAATTGTGGAGGAAATTAAGCAACATAACCTGCTGTGTCTTAATGCCAATTTGAAACAAACAGGAAGTTATACATTTAGCACTTCAAGTGGTGCTGTTTAAAAACAAATCTTACATTGTTTAGCTATTATTATCAGGGTCAATGGGAACCATTTCAATTCTGAGAGAAATTTAACTGAGAGATAAGGCCTTTAATCACCAGATACAACACAAGCATGGTAGACACCACAAAAAATATCAACAATTGCATAGAAACTGCATGGAATATACATACTGGATATGGAATGACACAGCACAAATCTCCAAAGAGCTTTTAGACAAATCCAAAATTTCTCTTATCTGCTGTGTCATTCAATGCCGTTCACATGGTTTTCAGTAAAAAATGGCGAAGCTGTCCACGAGCAGTTTTTAGGTGGTATTTCGATTTGTTGTGACGTTTGGAAAGTCGTATCGTGTTGTGTCATGTCGTACCATGTTGTGTCGTATCTGGTATATAAAAGCCTGTACTGTTCCACCTGAACAGCACCTATTGAACCTATCACTCAAAACAGAAGCCTACCAGTACTTATAATTGCAGGATCAAGTGATCAAGGAATTGGAATTGGTCAAGAAGTTTGGTCCAGATTAAGACAGCTGGTGTATTCAATAGAGATTAGGGTAGTTGAAGGGTAACAAGTTACTATCTAACAGAAGGCACTGGCACAGGGTTAAAGCAATGTTCACTAATGTTAGGGTTAATATGTTAAAATGGAAATTTGAGTCATTACTTGAAAGAAACTATTGATGCATTGAGCACTATGGTCTCCCAAACCAGTAGACCTAAAAGCTGTCGTAGCCTCACACACAATATCTATTATATCAAGTGTATCAAGTGATATATTTGAGTTACATTTCACAATGTCAATTCTTTATGTCAATAATTGAATCAAGAAATTACATTTTGACTGTAAAAACTCAATTCTGTAAAATAACTTGGTTCTATTTTTTTTAAATGAGAACATTGAGATTTTAATTTAAGAGAAAGTAGAGCTTGTATTGTAGAAGAAATAGCATGGAGTTAGTGAAGTGTTGTCATTGAGAGAGGATAGGTTTTTATGAGCAAAAACTAATTCTAAATGTCTAATGACATGGTAGTATAATACCTCTCTCTGATTGGACAGAGGCTGTCTTTTAAACCAATCGAATTTCTAGAAAGAGATTCCAAGCAGAAGACATAAGTGTTGGAATGAGCGGGATTGAAGTGTTGTCATTCAGAAGAGAATTATGACAATTCAATTGATGACCTTTATTTTTCTCATCTGATAACCAGATTTATATTCTGACTTGGCAGATTGTAAATTAGGGAAGATTTGCATGGAATAATAAAACAAATAAAAGCTTTCAATTAAAGTAGATATGTTTTTTACAATGTGGATGTTTTACTGTCATATGGGAAAACTTGGTTTGAATATAAATAAGCCTGATGATGAATCAGATATCATTTGCTGAACTCTGTGAAAAAGCTTAAAAAAACTAAGCCTTCATTGGAAGACATTCTACATGGTATTATATATAACATGATAATGGATAAATGTTGTTTATAACTTAATAACAGTGGTGGCGCCAGTTGGGGTAAAGGGTAGGCAGTGCCTACAAATCATCTGTTACAAATTTATAAACAATTTTTTTTTTACGTTTTTGACCCCAAGTATGTGTCAGACTATTCTATTCTTTAAGAATAGGAAGGTTTTTGCCAATGCCCTTCCATAAAGCTGGCACTTTTTGAATATCAACCTTGACAGTTGTGCCCCCATTAAGTTGTCTACCCCTATTTGTACCCCCAGTCTCGCGAGGCTGACGCCACCACTGCTTTATATAGTACTTGACAATAGATGAAAGTTGTTTATAACTTGACAATAGATGAAAGTTGTTTATAACTTGACAATAGATAAAAGTTGTTTATACAGATGAAAGTTGTTTATAACTTGACAATAGATGAAAGTTGTTTATAACTTGACAATGGATGAAAGTTGTTTATAACTTGACAATAGATGAAAGTTGCTTATAACTTAACAATAGATGAATGTTGTTTATAACTTGACAATAGATGAAAGTTGTTTATAACTTGACAATAGATGAAAGTTGTTTATGCAGATGAAAGTTGTTTATAACTTGACAATAGATGAAAGTTGTTTATAACTTGACAATAGATGAAAGTTGTTTATACAGATGAATGTTGTTTAAAACTTGACAATAGATGAAAGTTGTTTATAACTTGACAATAGATGAAAGTTGTTTTTACAGATGAAAGTTGTTTATAACTTGACAATAGATGAAAGTTGTTTATAACTTGACAATAGATGAAAGTTGTTTATACAGATGAAAGTTGTTTATAACTTGACAATAGATGAATGTTGTTTATAACTTGACAATAGATGAAAGTTGTTTATAACTTGACAATAGATGAATGTTGTTTCTAACTTGACAATATATGAATGTTGTTTATAACTTGACAATAGATGACTGTTGTTTATAACATCGGTAAATGTGGTTATGACTTTACAATTGATAATAATGTTTATGATAAGATGATAATGGATAAATGTAATTTACTCAATCAGAGTAATATTGTACATAAAATAGAGACTTACCTATGAGGTAAATGTCTTTGACCATTGAGTAAAGCCATAATAACATTACCAAGAGCAGAAAGACTTAAAGAAGCATTACTAGGATCTTTAGATTTAGCTGTACTCCCTAAATCTATTAAATGTAGTCTACTTCTACCACCAGCAACTGAAATCAAAACAAAATACAATAGTGAGTACATAAAATAGAAAAAAACATTGTACAGATAATCTCAAAATGATCTTAGAGCTAGTATATCCTGCAAACAGTGTTAGAAGACCCTTGGACATCCTTGCACTAAGATCACTTTGAGAATAGGCAGTCTTGAGTTGAATTGAATAAGACCTGCCCTATTTCATCAACAAAAAAAAGAATATTACTTTTATTGGTAGTAACAGAGTTTTGGCTGTAATAGTCGCCAAGTGGTAGTATAAGTTAGGACTGGGTAGCCTATTCTTAACCTCAGGAACACTCTGCCACAATGTTTGTAAACTAGGCATCACTTAGTGATGTTCTTCATGGTGATAAATAAGGATGTTTATTATTAAAACCAATTGAATAAACACAGCTATCACTCAACTAGCCGAACATCTATCTTGTAATGCACCCTTTATGTCATTTTTATATTAAATCATTTTTCACTAAACACAACTTGTAGCGTATCATGATAAAGATCCTTCTTTTATTCATGGGAATTGAGGAATATTTTACGATTATTGCATGAAAAAATGTGAATAAATATGTAAATGTCATCAAGATAAGCTTGAAGGTCATCTTGACTTGATCAGAATTAATAATGACTCCCTTGGTCGTGTCATTTACATGTCAAATACAACACACATACACGATCTGCTCGTGTTTTTCTCTCACTTTCAATTTCAATTCCTGTAACATGCAAAAAATTCAAATGAATTTTCACCAAGGATGGTTATGTAAGTGCTGACAATTCTGATGGTTTAATGAAATTAAACCTAGTTTCACTATACAACTTTTTTACAACAAAAAAATAATGATGATATTTTTTTACAAAAATCGCAGAAAACAGCTAAGTGAATTACGCCAAAAAGAAACTGGTAGCTCATATTTTAAGCAGCGTTTGGCAGAATGACAGGTTAACTGGTAGTTTTCAGGCAAAGATAATAGACTTAACTATGGTTAGAATTTCTACTAAATACCAGCTATTTCAACCTTGTTACATCATTGATGTTAATGCCTGCCAGTTTTGTGTTTTATGTTGCTACTTTTATTTCTGTGTTGAGAGTTTTATGAATTGAAGAGATGTGTTTTTGCCCTCACAGTCTAGAGAGTTAAATGCCAGTAAACTTTCTTTAATCAGATATCACTGACTTTTAAATGGTTCAAATAAAACAAAAATATTTGGGTGTTTTTGAAATAGATAACATTGACAGAGTAAGTTTAATAGAGTTCTTTCTATGGCATTTACGCTATTTACCAATATCTCCTCATTCTATAGGCTTGTACTGGTATAATATAATGAACATTACAACAATATCAGTAAGTGTGTACATTACTATCCAGTTGCAATTTCAATCAGTCAATAAAATGTATGTACCAATTTTACTTGGTGGCTTGTATCAAATCTGACAGTATTAACTAGTGCTGGGTATCACCAATCATTCCACGATACAATACAAGGGTCACAATAAGGTAGGTAGTAAGGGGCAGAATGGAAGACAAGCCTATCAGTGGGTACCTTTTGTAATAAAGATATTATTATTATTCATTATCGTGATAAGGGGTAACGGGATAAAAATGTACATTTTATCTTGTAGTTTCTATATATATTAATTTGTATCTTTATTACTGTGATATTTGATAATATAGTATATTGAAATCTCCATTTTTTTTATGGAATGAAAGGTACCGTCAAGTATTGACACACGACATTGCGATATAATACGCGTATTGTGGCATGACGTATCGCAATACATCGATTCACCGATATATCGTGCCAGCACTACTAGCATATTTGAGCTCATTCAGCTTTCTTTTCAGAATTTAAAGGCTGGAATCTTGATCTTTAAATGAATATAAAAGTAACATTTTATCTTCTAAGTTTCAATATATATTAATTTATAACTTTATAACTGTGATATTTGGTAATGTAATTGATAGGAGTGGTTAATGTCCACTGTCTTATCAAATAGTTACCAACTTCAATCAAGTCAGTGAGAAAAATTATGGAATGAATGGTATCGTTAATTACAGAATTTCCTTTTGAATAACTGAAATATCCTTGTATTTTTGACCTTCTTTCTTCTGTCTTTTTGATAACTTGACCTTCTTATTTATCTTATTTGGATTACAAGGCCTTCTTCATTCTTTTTGATTCTTTTTGATTCATTGACAACTTGGTCCTTTTTCTACTGTTTTCAATTCCCAACTCTCAAAGAAATTTTTGAATACTTGATAATAATGGACTCAAACAAAATGGTCTTTAATTTCAAATAAATTATTTGACTTTTCATTCTATATTTTGTTGATTACTTCAACTTGACCATTTTAATACCCTTACTAGTAATATTGATTACTTGGTTTTTATTCTATTGTTCATTATTCATCTCTTTTCAAGATTGAATATTTCCTAGCTCTTGTCTTGCTAATTACATGGTGTAATGTCAAATATTTCTTAATCTCAAACATAATGACTCTCACCTTGCCTCTGAATTCTAGTTTGACTGCCTGTGATATTTTGACTCTATATCTAAAGTTGTGATTAGGCTTCTATTGTGCTGTATGCATGAAATAGATTTTTTTATAGCATAAGGGAGCAAAGAAGAAGTCAAGCCTGTGGAATCTTGCATGAAAAACGTGAAGAAAACGTTCTTGGAAACAGACTGATAAATATTTCAAAGTCAGATTTATGTCCATTATAAATCACATTATACAGTCTCAGCTGTGATCATAATTTGCTTGATTAATTTCATTTTACTTTACCAGATTTTTTTTCTGAATATGTATTTTCTCTATTTTTATAAAAGGTGTCATTAAATGTCTGAGGGGTGACACATTTATTCCTCATTTTATTCATTTCATGCAGATTATTCTTCTAGGTCTAATGTCAAGATTTTGATCTCTGATCCACACAAAAGGTTTTAACATGGGAGCAGACGTCAAAAGAGGAAGCAAACAGAGGAAGATAGCTTTACAACAACTATAATATAAAATCAACTCTAGTCTGGCAAATAAATAAAAATTAGAAAAAGAGAGACTTTTTAAGAGACATAATTTATAGTCAATCTTACTTCAAAAACAAACTGACAAGAAAAGCAAATGAAGACATTTTCTAAGTTGAGAAAGAAATCAGTTTTTAAATGGTAGTCTTAAAGACTGATCTATGGTTGCTAGAAAAGTACATAGCTTCAATTCAGCCTTTATATTTTGTATGATGTAAGATTTATAAGACAGAGAAAGTGTCAGAGTTTGTATTCAATTTGGCTGGTTGGAAGAATGCCAGGTTTCACTCTAGGCATGAAATAAGTCTTATTTAACAAGCGTTCAGGTAGAGTGAAAATAAATTGAAGAGTTGAGTGTTAGAATTCCCTTGTTTCTAACAACCTATTATTACTTACATAAAACTGGGATAATTACCTCAGCTTTTTAACTTATTTCTTACTGATATATTCAATGTTATAATATATTATATGTATATCAAGTTTGATATATGTTACCATCAATATTAAAAGAACATTAATATATACGTCAACCATTAGCCATCAATGCTGAACACTTGAAGTGAACCATTCTCCGTCCGAACTTGGCCAGCACTGTTTTCACTTGGTAAAATATCTGCTCTCAAGTCACGTTCAAAGTGCAAAAGATTCTTAAAAAGATCCAATTTTGTTTTGAGACACACTCAAATGAAAATTGATTTTTTTGGTGGTGAAGCTATTGCAAAGTTATATGTACCATGTATTCTTTTACCACATTACATTAACATTTACGGCACTGCCACTTTTGATAAACCATTGGCTACTCGGTTATGACCTGACCTGGATAATTTTGTGGGCAAATTAAATGGTGTAGAAATTGAAATCAAACAAAACAAACTTAATCAATTATGTGATTTCTCAGACAAGGTTCAAAAAGCCAGTCAAAGAGTTTGATCAGTGTTTCAACAGGGGTAAGCATGACATCCCTCTTAAGTTTGATGCTATTCTAAGGGAGACAAAAAATTTCTATCAAGGGTGAAGCATTGAAACTTAGCCAAGAAAAATATTGAAACTCTTGATTTTCATTTGATGGACATTTATCTACAGATAGTAGGTAAAAACACAATCAACATCTTAAAAAGTAAATTTTGAGACTAAAATAAACTAAAAACTAAAAATATGCACATAAGATACAATGGAATTTGAAAATAAAAGTATTAAGTATAAAGCTACATTGAAAGAGATGTTATATTATTGATTAAGAGATGCTATGAATAGCTTCTGTGTGATAAAGATATTGAATGTAGGGTGGTACAATATTTTCCTTTAATTTGAAACTTTGTGATTTGTTTTTCCTTTCAACACCTGGTTATTTCTACAATTTCCAATTTCAAACAGATTTTTTTTTTTTACCTTTCTCAACATATTACTTGTCATATTACATACTTTTGCTGCCAAAATCTACATGAAGTTAATTTGTAAAACTAAACAAGACAAAACAGATTAAAGATTAAGATTATTGAACTAAGTATAGAGCTCATTACTGCTTTAACATGAGCATTCAATGGCGCTTTACAAATTAACACAAATATTTCTACATTATAGTCAATCTCACACACACACACTGAGTTGTTTTAGGTAAAGGTCCTTCTAAAAAGATGTGTTTTTAACTTTCCTGTAAAAGAGTCAACAGATTAAAAGGTTTTTAACTGTTCAGGTAACTTGTTCTATAACTGTGGTCCTGCTACACTGAATGACCTATCTGTAAAGGTTTTATATTTTGTTGTTGGTATACAAGGAATTGTCAAAAAGTATATGATATTATCAGTGGAAAGAAAAGTCTATGTGTATATCAGTATATTTGCCTTGATGTTCTATAATATATATCTACAGGTTTAATATATACATCACACATGTCATGTTACATGGTGAAGGTTTTTGTCAGTAATTTAATCTCACTATGTACTAATGAGATGTAAAACCAGAATAATTTCTATGCAATGTGTATAATGTGTATGATTATGTCAGAATTTTGTTTAATAACATCAAAATAATAGCAACATAATAGATGTACAGATGTTCATTATTTTTAACCATAGTCATTATTTAGTTGGCAGTCATCCAAACTTATTTTCAAATCTATATTGAAAATTACTAATATGCTATAAGACTGTTCATGGGAAGCTAGTTGAATAAAATTCTAGTTGATATTTGTAATATTACCACCAATCTGTCTTTTATTTATAAATCAAAGTTAGAAGCAAGTTCAATAACTCTTAGACAAATATATCAACTAAACCTATATCTGTTCTTTCATAATAAGATAATGATATAAATATCAAGTCCTGCTATATCAGGGTTCAATTTAGACTGAAAAATTTAATTAGCAATTTATCACACCAATTTTTAGTTTCGGCTAATCAAAAATTTCATTTGTATTTTACAAAAATTTGTTAACTATTTAAATTTTTCAGTAGTGAACCTTCAAAAAGATCTTGTCAATGATTTTAGTTCCTTAAGGTGATAGATTTGCCGTATATTTCAAGATTTGGCCAAATAGAATTAGCTCGAAAAAAAAATCAATTTAGTTTGATTCGGAGATCATTGAGATAAATTGTGATTTGAATTTTGCTAATTATAGGAATTTTGGATCACAAAAGGGGAAAACTGTATCTATTGAGCATTTGTCAGATCCAATTCAATCTTAATTTACATTACATGAAGCAAGTTTATTCAGATTACAAGAATCAAGTTAAACTCTTAATTCAGATCACAAGAAACAAGTTTCAAACTCAATTCAGATCACAAGAAACAAGTTTCAAACTCAATTCAGATTACAAGAAATAAGTTTCAACCTTAATCCAAATTAAAAGAAACAAATTAAAGTATACATACCTCCAGGAAGACCAGCTCTATTAGCTTTTTCTATTCGATATTGATAAACATGTAACGTAAATAATAGATGTGATGAGCGGCCATCTTCTTCTGCTGTAAAATATCAAGTCACAAATTCATTTTACAAATAAAAAATTGGCAAAATTTCAATTTCATATTCACAGGATGGGCCAAACACAGTTTATTTCTCTTTGCACACACGCCAAATGCATAAGATATAATTTAATATTGATAAGCTGTAGATAATACACTTTAAATCTACACTTATCTGCCACACTTATATTAAGATATTAAATATTCAAATTCATATGTTCAATATATTACTGAGAGATAAGAAAATTTTTCTGTAGCCAAGTACAGACGTAAAGCTACAGTCAAATGTTTGATATGTTTTAATATCAAACAAACTACTTTATATTCAAATACAGATATATCTTGTTTAAAACTTTCAAACTTGTTATCAAATTATACATAGTATCTTTGATGATTAAATAAGTCAAGATGTATGTTATGGTAAATGTAATGAATTAAACTTCAGATAGATTAAACAACAGTGATATGTATTAGATTTTGGACAAGATATAAGCTTACTGTTAAGCCTGCCACAGACGAGAAGAACTAGCTGAGCTGCTGGCCTCAAGAGGTTGGGAGCTGAGCTGTTTCCTCCTTAAGTGCTGAGTTTTTAGTAAGATTTCTGCCTTGAGAGGCTGTGAGAAAAATATCCATCTTGGCCAGAAATTCACTGTGTGCAGGCTTCTAAGCTGCCAGCTGAGCTAGAAAAGTAGCTAACCAATAGAAAAGCGTTGGCAGATCTACATTGTAACCGTGAATGACTTTAGAAGATCAACTTGCTGAATGTGACAATATATATGCAGTTAATTCAGAGGAATTCCAAAACAGAGAAATTAGGTCATTTTATTTAGTTAAGTGACACGAATGCAGTACAAAGCTCTTCCGTTGTTTTCGTTGACATAAGGAATTGGCCGAAGATTGTCTAGTGAGACAATAAGTCAGACAACAGCTCTCGTCTGCAGTAAAATAATTAGTGAGAATGTTGCTCAGCTGTCAGCTCAGCTAGTTCCTCTAGTCTGTGGCAGGCTTTAACTCACAAGCTGCTGCACGCCAATATTGTTGAACTGCTGCACCTATTTCAGTTATAATAAATCAATTCAAAAGATAGATTTGAAAGCAAAAATGTGACACAACATAGCATATGCCACAGGGATCCAATTATCAAAACAGGATTTAGCTGAATCAAAAAGAGAATATCCCATCTTAAAAATGATGCATCAATCATTGATGTTCATCTAGGAGATATATATCACATATTGGATTTGTCACAGCATGCATCCACATCATGTGCCTTAACATGTAGGTTGCTAAGGACAAATGAAGGGAAATTGCAGACGTTGTGCAACATCTTAGATTGATTTTCTCAAACTCAAGGAAACCCAAAATGCCTGAACCAAATGAAAGATCATAGAGCAATGATTGATGTATCATTTTGAAGCTGAGATCATACACTATTCTATTTAGCTAAATCCTTAGTTTTGAAACTTGGGTCGATGTGAATCAATTTGCTATGATGGGTCACTTGATTTGAAAGACACCATATAATAATATCAATATTGGTTTCTTTGCAGAAAAAAAAATTAGGGTGGGTAGAAACCAGAAAAAATAACAAAATAACACAATGAAATAACTATACTTCTAATAACATTTTAACATAGTGAAATGTATGACAGATCAGTGCCAATCATCTGCATCAAATTTAGAATAAAGTCTTACCACCAAGTTCATCCGAAAATAACAAGGTTGAGAGACTTCCGAAAGGAACCACAAACAATTACATGTAATGTCAGAGAATGAAAATACACTGTCCAAATCTGTTCACCAGAAAAAAACAACAACTTCCATCGAAATGTCCTAACTAACACCAATCTAACTCTTTGTCGAAAACAAACTGATCAACTTCTGGCAGGGAGACCAATTAGTTTCAGCCAAGCCACTAATTTTAGTGCCAAAATGTGTAAAATATGAGGTATTTTGCCTGTGAACTGGTGGATGTTGTTTTCTATGGACCAAACCATGTTACCTTTAATCTATTAGCGGGCTGTTTTGTGTTAAGACTAAACCATTAATTATATTGATAGATATTTAATGGTTACCTACTGTTAACTGCTGTTATGTATACAATGTTTTGGAGCAAGAGTGTACTTATAGTCCCTCCCTGTCATACTTAATGTTTCAATATAGAATGGCAGCAATAGATAGTATTATTTATCTCACAGTATATTGATTACTATGCTATTTAAATCAAACTTGCATTTGTATTAAACTGCAATATATACATTTGATTAAAAGATAGCCTTGCAAAGCAATGTGACATACACCCACCAGCTTTGATTGTACAAATCATTGTTTGTAGCCTGTACAGTGAGCATGAGCCAATTGTGAACAGACGTATGGATGACAAAATACTTCCAAACTATGTGAGGGAATATAAATATCAAAAGAATCCATAAAAAATTGTTGCTTGAAGAGTGAACATAAGTTGCACTATGTGGCTAATAGAAAGGAAGAAAACGACATTTCGGTGAAAAATTATCAGATTATCCTGAAAATTGATAGGGATCATCATCATAATGACATTGACCTACAAAATAAAAATCAAAAGAATCTGTAAAGAATTGTAGCCTGTAGAGTGAGCACAAGCCAAATGTGAACAGACAGACAGACACCAGGGTGATTACAATATATTTTCGGAATATAATAATGTTTATATTCCAATTACTAACAAAACACATATATCAACTATTGACAATTCAACATCACTCTGTCAGAAAAACACAGAAAAACTAACAATATGTCATGTTTTCCTAATTAGCCAAATTCGATTTTTTGTTTTTCATTCAAGGACAGCATACATACTGTGAAGTACTGTACTGAACTTCTATCTCAAAACATCAGATTGAAATCACAAAAATCTATTTCTAAATCTACATTGAAAAGTTATCAGCTTACCATTTTTACTAGTTGCAGCTAAGGCAGCATCAAAATAAAAAGCTGCTCTATCAGCAGTTGGTGCTCTGAGTTCACTTTGATTTTCAAGTTGAGTTCCACAGATAGGATCTTCTCTTAAATACACTGCATTTGATGGTGGTCCTTCTCCACCTGAAATGATAAATACACAGTCAGATATTTATTTATTGCACCTCATTTCATTTCTATCAATTTCAAAAATATAATTTCTTATATGTTTTTGTCCCAAATTGTTTGTCAAAATGCAACACATTCATTCTATTTTTCAATCATTTTCTAGGAGAGCCCTCTCAGAAGCTCCATGGTAGGCTTGCATCCATGACACTTCGGCATTTTGAATCTCATCCGCGACGTTGTCAATTATTAAATCAGTCTGCCCCCTACTTGTACCCCCAGTCTCAGGAAGCTCGCACAGCCACTGGAGCCAATGAATTATTTGTTGCAAAAAAAGTACTATTTTAGTAGAAATTATTCAAAAGTAAAGTTATAATTTGATTCATCACATCTTCATCATTGCAGTCTTAGTCTTAGTCAGATCAGTGTCTAAGTTTGGCTGAATGTAACTTTTCTTGCATTCAGTCATAAGCAGGAGAATGTACTGCACTTTAACCAAAATGAAAAAGTTGAATCAATGAAGAAAATTCAGAGCAGATTTCATTTGTATATTTTTAAAACATGTATAAATATTTGAATTTTGATTGAGAAATACAGATGGGAGGTTGGTATATTATTACCTGGAAAATTCATTGCCTTAATAAATAACATGTCCTACTGTTCTTACAGGTAAGAGATAATCATTTAAAATGTAACATATGTTATTCAATCACAGACTGTCAGGTAATACAGGCAGATTGAAGCAGAACTGGACTATTTAAAGGAAGATATATAAGAATAAAGTTGAGTACCTCCTTGTTAGATTATCATTAGTTAAGGAAGTATGCAAGGGAGGTAATTAAGCATAGCCGTGTCAAACAATTCACACATTGTGTTTATGGTAGCGAGTAATTTTTTTTACATAAATTATACATGTTATTAAACTTTGGCTCTGTAGGTCTTAATTACACTGACTCATCCTTTTCACAGTGAATTTTTCTAACATCGTAAGATTACTTTTTCTATAAATTTAAAACACAAGAAGTATCTTACTAATATACAAATATTCATATGTCTTATATAAGAGTATTATTTTAGTGGAATATAGCTTTAGCTAATAGAATTTTATTTCAGTACCTTTAGCATAAATAGTGAGTCCCTGCAATCAACAGAAACGTTTTGTGGAAAATAAGAATGTTCTGACTTTGAGTAAAAGCACTTGTAGCACTTAGAACAAGAGATTATTATATGCTTAGTTATAATGAATAAACTGTAGATATGAGTACTAATCTTGCTAGGAGTGAAGTAGCCAGCATTAATCAAGTCAACCAAGCTATAAATGGGTACAGATAATCTGGAAAAGATCAATGTCAAGAGGTTTGCCAACAGACAAGCTCATAGACAAGATCCTTGTGAACCTTATTAATCATCCTTGTACAAAGTTAGTTTCTTTCTTTCTTTTCTAAGACGTTATAAATATTCACACATGCAGATAATAACTGCGTTTCCACTGAGAATTGTTAAGTAAAGCTATCTTTATTGCCGAACGCGCTGTGTTTAAACTGAGTCTAACTGGTTCCCGAACGACTTTAGTCTCGATCACAAAGTTGCACATTACTGACAAACAGGATGTGCAAGACTACCATGAAATGGGAATTTAACTATTGCGTTTTAGATGATAAAAGTGAACAAAGCAATGTTAACTTACTAATTCTAATCAAAAAGAAGACAAAACACATTTTCCCTCTTCTATAAAGAAGGGATGTAACTGGGATATGCAAAGTTTTTTTACAACAACAAAATTTTTGTTTTGCTTCTGTTAAGAAATGGAAAGACCAGAGCACCCCCTATTGCCAAACAAGATAAAGCAGGCTATTCCATTCGTTGAGTGAAAGCCGTCTATAAGCTAGCTTTCATTTGGACCCTGATAAGTTGCTGAACGCAAAAAGAAAGGTCTTCGGTTCCCAGTTTGCTCAGTGGAAACACAAAAGTTGGCTTAAAGAGGGCTTCATCCCTCAGTGGAAACACAGTTAATTTACATCATGACATCATTAGATATAAGTGCCCCTGACAATATATCTTTCTGCTTATACCTTTACAGAGGACATGCAATATATTGATTTCTTCCATCATATATATCTGTTATAAGATATTTTTACAACACAGGGAAAATTTGAAAGACTGAAATAAATAACCTGAACATATGATATACTATATTGAGATCTATTAACTTCTGACATTTACTACTGTATCAATTGTACCATTTCATATCACGTAATACTAGTATTAATTTACAAATAATCACTTTAAACTACCCCTATTATTGTGTTGTTGACTATTTTATACTTAATAGTAATGGACTTCCTAAACCAAACTTCTACAGAAGCCAGAGTAATGCTTGGGTTAAAATAAGGATTCTATTTTCATGCATTTCCAAAATATATGTGCATATGAAAATCAACTCTGAAAGAGTTACTTTCTAGTGACTATTTGCATAAGAATTGCTTTTTTCACCCGAAACCTTGCTCAACATTAATATTTGATTGACTTATCATAATTGACATAGAAGGTCATGGTCAAGATAATGTTTTGATCCTAGCCAAATATCTGATCATTTGAATATTAATATGTTCCAAATGGTTACTACTTTTTTCTATTCTATCCCAAAATATTCTTTGAAGGTTTTGGGATTTTACTCAAATCAACAAATACCAAAACTGATAAATTACAAAATTTTTCAAACCTGTTTAGTTATTTTCTAAATAAAATCAAATTTAGTGCTAAACTATTTGAATACTGTAAAGGTAAGTATTGAACCCTAACTATGACACTCATAATTCATCTAATAAACAACAGAATGATGGTCCAAATATTTGCAATTCCAGAAACAACTTTATGTCAAAGAGAATGGACTGGGCTGATCGAGATTTATCTTTATCTCTCATTTTTAGATTAATTTTCCAGTATCGTTGAAGAAAAATAAATATTTTCACGTGCTGAGGTTGTCTGGTGTCAAATGCTCACTTAAATTTTCATCCGTGTTTAGTTAAGTCAGCCTAAACTCCTCAATAGTGAAGAACAAAAATAGTCTACCATTCTAACATGTCTGATTGGATGTGTTGGAATTCTACTCAACACTTCCTTTTTACGATTTCCATCAATTGCTAGGGGAAATGAATCAATTACCAATCACTCGCAATTGTCGTGTACCGAATTTGTGGTAGGAAAACAAGTTCTACAATTGATTGAACGATGCTTGCCACAATTTGCCCTCATGGAAGAATTCCAGATATAGCAAGTAATCCACTCTTTCGATTTCTTTATTCAGTTACAATGACAAAGATGAAGTTATTTTCTACGCACATTCTAGTTGTGAGCTACTACAAGTGTTACAGAGTATATAAACGAGTTGAATTCACCACAACATGTGTAATACATTTTAATTATATCGCCATGAGGGACATGTACTCTTTCAATCAAGTCCAACCCTTCGTGCAAACAACCATAATCTAATATTTAACTTTTATTAGATTTAATAATGCCTGAATTCCCTCAACATTTGTCTGTTTCTACACAATTTCCACAGAATTTCAGTTACTGTACAGATTTAATATTGAGAAAAGTTTTTGTGCGTCTGCAGAATTTTATATTTGATTTCCTTGAGTTTTTTTTAAATCTGATTTAAGCCCTGAACATGGTAGTGAATATGTAATAATACTTAGTTGTCCAACTATTTCTGCATTTTTTCTACTCTAGACTAAAAAAGTGGAATAAAACTATGTTTTTTAGGTTAAACATAAAGTGAGAACTACACCAGGTGTTAGAAATTTTTGGAACCTATTCCCTGTCTAATTATCATCACTAATATGTTTCAATTCAACCATGATTAACTCAAGTTGGAAAAAAAATCAACCAAATTCTTGTGTCAGATTGAATTGTTGAGAGGTATTCCATATCTACCTCAGAGATATTGATACTTAAAAAATTGGCAAAAACTCTGGCAGTCAATTGGTTTTCAGTTGGTGGCAAAATAAAAGATGTGCCAAGTTAAGAGATATTTTATGAGTTGTCTTGTTTCATTAAAGATAGAGTAATGAATTGAAATAGAAAAACAATATGTCCTATTTTCATAGTTTCATGCTTTTTTCATCCAACTTTATTCTTAATCTTGGTGACTTATTAATGGCAATATCAATGATAGAGAATTATGTTTTTTAAAATACAGATTCTTATGATATGTGATATGTCTTAATCCATTTCTTAGAATAAAGGAATTAATCCACTACATAAGTGTTTGTGTAATATTGAGTGGCAATGACAGGTTTGGCACCAAACAAAGGTATGCTTATTCTTCTAGACACCTGATACCACTTTTAATAATGAAACATTTACTTATTTATTTAATGAAATTGATATTCTTCTCCTCATGAATACATTTGCTGCTACAGATGTATTGGCAAAGTTTTATTTTGGAGTTTCGTTTTGCCATTCGGGTAACATTTGAAATGCAAGCTACCAAAATATATGAACCATTTAGTTGAATCAATAGGCTCACATGAGCACCAAAACATAACATTGAAAAGAGATCAAGATATTTCTTACCTCCACCAACATCAAATAATAGATCTTTTAAATTCTCTTGTGTTCCAGAAACTTCTACAGCAGAAACACGAACAGAAAATCTGGCACCAGTTGATTCTTTCTGTTCACTAATTAATTTAAATAACCAGGATATAGCACAAGGTATAACTCCTAAAGTTTGTGGTGAGTGATCTTTACCTATCATAGTAAATGATTTACCTGAAAAGAAAATAAGTGCATCTTATAAAATTTGTATTAATTGACAGACAAGTTTATTATTCAATAGCAACTAAAATGAACTGAAAAATGAAGTCAATAAATCATTATCTTGTTACATATACCTTCACAAACAGAAATATCAGAAATAGTGAAACCAACAGAGATGAATTAAACACTGTCACCAAGAATAAATTGGACCTGGGGCTTGGATTTTGTGCCGAGGCAGTGTGGGTGGGGCTCATTGATGCAGAGCATCACAAAATCTATGAGTAATCATTTCTAACGATTTTGCGGTGCCAAAACATTCATCTTTTTGGTTTTGTACGAAGACACTGCAAATTAATCAATCTCAGCAGAACTGAAGTTTCTCTGGAAGCAAGCATTTTTACAAACAGAATATAACTCTTCATATGAATATTTTACAACAAAGGTATAAAACCTATTTACCACATATCATTTGATTCTGTACAAGAAAATGTTATTCTATAGAATATATAGTTTTTATATTTTTCCAGCAATTAAAATAATATCTCTAAGGAGAGCATATTTGAGAGCATATTTGAGAACATAAGAATAATGGCAAATTTTATTTTCTATAATAATTCTTTTATCTTTTAAATTTAACAAGTCTATATTTTATACTTCGTTACTTAACATTTTAATGATATAAGGAATGTTTCTTTTTCACTTTGTTCATTTTCTAATTTGTTTCCTGTGACCTGAATTTGTATACATTTTTGCATGGTTATCAATCAACACTTAAAATTTTTAGAAGTTCCAAAATGCACTTTTCAAGATCTTGTTTAAAAACTTTGTTTTTTATCAAGAACGCAAACAAAATGCAGACGACCTTTTACATTTGTATAGAAAATGTCTTTAAAGATCAAAATTATATTCAGTCTTTTGGATCTCAAAATATAAATAAATCAACAGCCATGCTGGGTTTTATACAGCACAATGGCTGCTTATCAGCTGGTCTTCTAGTTATGTTCGTTTGATTGTAGGGTCGATGTTTTCGTGTGTTTTTATATTATATGTTATTGCAGTATGTACAGATGTGGTCATACTATGGTGATTATGCTTTAAGGAACTCTTTACCACTGGAGAAACTATGTAAGAGCAATATAAATCCCAATGGCCGTGAATGCTAAATTGTTATAATTTATAGAAAAAATCTTTACAAATCACAAATATTGAAGGATAAAAAAGTGAGTAATAATTTGTCAAATGAACAACAACCATAGAAATCAGATCCAAATATTTCCAACAGACGTCAATTTAAAAAAAGGGACCACCAAGATATCAACAGATGTTTCCAGATAAATTGACCAATGAATACCTTTATTTTGATTTACACCGACACCCCCACGTTTATTATATTATATACAATTCCTCTTCTGGTGTCAAATCATCTACTACATAGCTCACTTGAAGAAAATAAACAATTTGAAGTAGTTAAAAGCCCTAGGCTCCCACAGTCTACTGAATAACAGTCCATTTTAATAAAGCTAATAAAATACAGCACTTCATATTCTCAACATTTTCCTTATACCAATACTTCTTACTGATAATTACTTAACCATGAAAGCAGCATAAATTAATTGGATTATCTAGCAATGACCATAGGCAAGATGTTCGACCAAGGATCTGTTGGTAAAAAAGATCACCAAAATCTCAAAATAAAGTGTCCAAATATTATATTAGAAAATCAGATTCTATTTACTACTGATTTTACAAACTGAAGTAAAATAGAGATTAGCATACTTTTTGGATTTCTCACTACTGAAGGATATTGTACCGGCTTCAGTTTATAGAAACATTTGAACAATGCTTTTTCCTTCTTACTAAGGTTAACTAAGGAGTCAACTACTATACAACTTTTGATTTTGATTAACAGAATTGTCGTGCTTGTATTGATTTTTATTATCTGACCTACATCACTGATAGAGGCAGACAAAGTTGTGCTTTGCGCTGGGATGGGACACACAAACCTTAGATTAGCAAGCAGGTGACTTAGCCAACACCTTGTATTAATATATATAACACAATGGATACTGTGATCTATGACAGATTGCAAGTTGATCAGTTCCATTAATACAAGGAGTAAAATCATATCTTTATGACTTAAGATCTTAATGGTTTGGGAACATAAACAGTCTTGATTGACGATTTTTGTTGCCGACTGAAGACTTGCCTGAATGGGCACACAAGTAAATCTCCAGTCAATCGTTTTCCACCATGTTGATACCCACGTGCAGAGAATGCAATATAAAGAAAATGAATCTGATTGGATGATGACAGTCAGGCACATTCAAGATTTGACTCAAGATTCAAGTTGGTGACAAAAATCGTCAACCAGGACTGTATTCGTGTACCCACACCTTAAGGTGAACAATTTTTTTTGGAGATGGACAGATCACTTGTGACATCTTGGCTAATCTGTTAATCATATGAGATAAATACATTCCAGGACAGTCTAGACAAGAACATATGAATATTAGAAAATATTAGACTGAAGAAGTCTAGTAACCTTGTCTGACATCAGATACAATCATACATGATAGAATAATGGTTAATTTATCAGAGAATACCTATATCAATCTACATAATAAATAAATACCACTGTCATCTCATATATCATCCTGTCATACAATATATCACTTCTACTAGTAGTTATTGATACAGATAAATATCATTCCATCTAACAACACCCACAAATATGTCCTTAAGAGCACTGTGACTTTAAAGAGATTGTAAAGAGGTTTTCTAAACTTTGTATGTGTTGCACCATTCCAAGTTTGATGACATCACTCATCAATCGCGAAAGACCTTACGTGATAAAGCAAATTTTGAGAATAGTGACGTCAACAAACACTTAGTTGTATATGTCTGAATGAAAATTTTATTGGATACACATATAAATTAAGAAAACCTCTTTACAATCCCTTTAAGTTTGGAAGGGCAAGTACAGTCTATCTTAGCAGTTGTTACTTTGAACATTTTGTATAATAATTTCCCTAATTGATGCAGAGAAAATGTCCAATAGAAAGTGTAAAATAGTTAATGTGTTGTGTTGATTAATTGATCTCCATGGCAAAATTATCGATTTCCGCTGGTCAGTTCAAGATGGTTTCCCACATAAAAAAAGGAATGGTCAATGATACCAGCTATTGGTAGAAACTGCCAACACAAATACCTATTGTTTTAAATCCTACCAGTAACAGCTACTGATCTTATTTGTTCAATTGGTGTGAAAATAGTCCAAATTCATGAATCTTGGGTTTCTTGTAAACAAACATGAAAGGAGTCGTTTTCAACAGTTTTCATCAAAAACCAAGAATCTTAATCAAAAACAATAGGGGCTCACTAGAAATTTCAACCAAATGATCAATTTGAGAGTAGTTTTTGTAATAGGAGAGCAGTGCATGAACCAAGATGGTTATAAATAAACTTTTAACATCTAAGTTCTTCCTTCTCAACTTAGATAGAGTCTTTACTCCAAGATTTGTGGGAACACAACTTTAAGTTAACATAATGGCCAGTCTTTAGTGATGACAATACAGTGGTCATTAAGATCTCCCTTAATCATATTAGGTCTGCATAATCTGACCATTGGCCTTTCTGTCTGGTCAACATGAATGAGAGACGTAGACCACATTTCTATAAGAATAATGTTTTGATTCAGACATCACACAGAATAATGGAATCAGACAAAGTATCTAAAACAATACCGACAGATCATTCCATTTAATTTCCTGATTTTATTGGTACCAATTACCGGTACCACAGTATCAATTGAGATGAGCCAATATTAAGATATTTTAAAGGTTTCATGATTAGAAATGATGATGAAGCAGAAATTGATCTTAAAGGGAAAGAGTACTATGTTTTATATTTCATTAAGAAACAGTTTAGTTTTATCAAGGAATCGCATTAGACAAGTTTTCTATCCTTTTGATTTTTATTCCCAGTACTTGCATGCAGTTCCAAAAACTAAAAAGGTTCTAATGAAATATAACTGAAGTATAAAAAGCATTTCAATTTCATAAATTCCAACTACAAATGACATTTCTAAGGCAACTGTGAAACTTAAAAGGAAATAGAATCTGCAAAATATAGATCTTAAATTCACGATGGCTGTCAAAATATGGCATATTGTAAATTGCATGGATTAATGATAAATTGGCATAAGTCAGAATGCTAATCCATTTTTGAAACATTTGAAAATATTCCACTTGGTAGGAAATGAACTTTTCAGAATTTCGTCTTGAAATAGAAAAATTGACATGCATTGAAAAGGAATTTGAAGAGGTTTACCTAGAAACACATGTCAACTTTAGAAAAGTATTCATCATCAATGGACTATTTTTTTTTGAGGCATTGATAAGGAGTGATTCATTTTTGTCAAATCAGCACTTAGTGAGACGAAGCATGACAGAGGAGGACACTCGACTGACAAGTAGCTTAATTTACAAGAAGAAATAGCTTGTGATCAATCCATTAAAACAGGCAGACCAAAACCGAGTAAGTCTAACATTGTTGGAAATATCCGGAACTGAATTACTGCCAGAAACAAATCTAAATTGACACGCTATCAGGGGAAGTACGTAGACAAGGTGATAAGATGATATTAAATCTCTCGTAACTGTAGAGCACACAATACAAAACGATGTCGTAAAAGGCCACATATACAGCAAAACGTCAGAAAAGGCCATTTCTCTATCTTTACTGTTGCCATAATAATATTGAACAACAACTGGTTTATTTGATTACTATACAAGAGGCAAGCTTAAATTGATAGACAAAACTTGAAGAATGTAATATAAGTCTTGCCAGGTCAATTTTAAGAGAGAAAGCAGACAGAGAATAAAGACTAGAAACCAAATAGAATCTTTATTAATAAGAAGGAAATTTCACATGACCATATGAAATTGAGTTTACATGGTTACAGTCAACTTAATGCTTTACCAGCTGATAGAACACAATTTTAGCTATCAATATCCCAAAACTTTACATATTTCAACCACAGTGAACTGTGGGCAGTCAGTTATCAGAAATATATAGTCATTTCCTATCCACATGAATCTTGTGAATAATGAATACAGGCCTCATACAATATTCTAAAGACTTAGTTAACCATGGTATTTTAACTTTAATTGATAAGGTGACACAGTATAAACAAAGATATTAAAAATCTGTTAAAAAAAATATCTTAGAAAGTATTAAGCTATAGCAGCCCTAAAACCATTTTGATCTCCAGTTATGTATGGTTGCAAATAAGTATATTGGTCGTAAAGGCTGTTTTCCATGGGACGATTTTTTTCGCAGGAAGCAATTTTTTCGTACAGATGCATGCGTATTGATAAGAAGTACTAGCATTTGCAGCGAAAAAAAATCGTCACGACGATCGCAAAAGAAGTAGGAATAGGTTCTACTTTTACTCGACGAAATTTTTCGCGCAATTAGCTTATCCAATCAGATGCCAGAATTTTGCCTAACAGCGTCAATGTCATATCGTCATGACGTCAAAGATTGCAGAAAATGGCATAGCCAACTTATCAGTCCAAACAAACACTAAGCACACAAATTTCTTTGGATCCAGAGGAAATAAAACAAAATCTGGAAAATAATTAGAACTAGTTAATATAAACGCTAGCTTAATAGCAGGGCTTTGTTGAATGCCGCCATTTAGTCGCTGATGGGCAAGGACGTTAGAATAGCAATAACGTCAATCTTCGATGACAATGGAAATCAAAATTCGTCGAGGGCTTTTATTTTGCGACGAAAAATTTTGCTTCGCGTGAAAAAAATCGTCCCGTGGAAAACCGCCTTAAGATTCGAACACAACTCTCATGAAACTGAGTTGTGAGTTGTGTTCAAAACTCATGGCCACTTTCATTATTCGCTACCATACACAACTGATAATCGCTATAGTATAAAGGAACCTTTAGAAATTAAATTTTTAGTGAACTTACCAAGTTTAGAATGACCATAACTAAAGAGACAACCATCAGCACCTCCTATAACTGATTGTAAAATTTCACTTAAACTTCCAGAACATACTTCACTCTGAAAATAGATAAAAAAAAGTGATCAAATATTAAGAATAAAAAATTATGTCTGGATTTTTTCATCATCTGAAAAAAAGTAGGAGGTAAAACTCCAGGACGGTGACAGCTCCCAAGACTGGAGAAACAAAGAGGGGAGACAACTGACCGCCCCCTATTGCCGAACGAGAAAAGCTTCAATTGCCAAACCGTTATGGTTCCCGAACTTAGAGCCGGCTTTTTATGTCAGTGGAAACACAGTTAATGACAGGTGATTTTATGCTCTGCACAATGACAGTTGACTCTATGTTCAGCAAAATGACAGTTGACTTTATGTTCAGCACAATGACAGTTGACTCTATGCTTTGCACAATGACAGTTGGCTCTATGTTCAGCACAATGCCAGTTGACTCTTTGTTCAGCACAATGACAGTTGACACTAAGCTCTGCACAATGACAGTTGACTCTATGTTCAGCACAATGACAGTTGACTCTATGTTCAACACAATGACAGTTGACTCTATGTTTGGCACAATGACAGTTGACTTTATGTTTGGCACAATGACAGTTGACTGTATGTTCAGCACAATGACAGTATATGTTCTGCACAATAACAGTTGACTTTATGCTCTGCACAAAGACAGTTGACTTTATGTTCTGCACAATGACTGTATATGTTCTGCACAATAACAGTTTACTTAATGCTCTGCACAATGACAGTTGACTTTATGCTCTGCACAATAACAGTTGATTGTATGTTCAGCACAATGACAGTTGACTCTATGGTCGGCACAATGACAGTTGACTCTATGTTTTGCACAATGACAGTATATGTTCTGCACAATAACAGTTTACTTAATGCTCTGCACAATGACAGTTGACTTTATGCTCTGCACAATAACAGTTGATTGTATGTTCAGCACAATGACAGTTGACTCTATGCTCTGCACAATGACAGTAGACTGTATGTTCGGCACAATGACAGTTGAATCTATGCTCTGCACAATAACAGTGGCACCAATTTAATAACAGTGTTGATTGCAAATTACATTTATCTGCTGTGTTTACAGATTGTCAATGAACTTGTAACATTTCTATTAATATGATAAATAATATCAGATATAACTTATATTGGTACATATAACTATTATAAACAACATGTTGTTATTACAAGTGGTACACCTTTATCTCTCATCATTCAGATATCATGAATGAATACATTATCAAAATATGTACTAATGTATATCCAATCCACATCGTGCCGGTATTAACCTTGATTTTTACTGGGTTTGATATCTATATCTATGTTTCTTTCATTTAGGCTTGCATTTTCAAATTGTATTTCTAATGTATTTGACGCTTCTAGCAATTTCTTGCTACTTTGAAGTCTGTAAATTCAAAATGTATGATTATTTTATTGAGGGAAAGTTCAGAACGCCTTAAATTTGTTTATCAATAGTTGCTTGTATATTTTCCAAATTTTTTACCTTCCAAATGGTTTGGGTTCTGTCTTATGACTCATTTTTCCTTGCTTTAAATTTCTATTTGTAGTTTTTACCACCAGTTTATTACTAGATTATCTATGAAGGAAGTGTGAGTCAGTTGTGTTCTGGTCGACCAAATTTCACCGTTAGTTTGCAAAAAGTGAACCAGTAGGTCTACCTAAATTAACATTTGTAATATACATTAAAAGGGATAGTCTGCTTTTCTTGTAGGTCACTCAAATTTGTGAAAACTATACACCAAAATCTAGAGCATATCTGAAAATTTTAACTAAAAAAATTCAGTCGTTAATTTTTAAACGTCAAAAAATATTTAAAAGCATTATGTATGTACCACAGATATGCCATATGCAAATTCATTTTTTGGTTACAAAATACTTTTCGTCAATTATCCATAAGGAGGGATTATGCCATAACTTAATTACTATAACTATTACTTTTTATGTAGAAATTCTCTTATAAAAAAGTTTAGAAACAGAAACCATACGATATAACTTTAATATCAAACTGAAAAAGCCTGCAGGATTGCTGAACATGTGATTTCTGCACAAAATGGTAAAATGATGTCTGCACTCAATGAGACTTCTCCCATGGAGAATGCAAATCAAATAGTTTATTATGAATGTATCTTGTAGAAAGTTATCCATCCCCCTAGGGTGTACCTAACACTTAACACATGTTGAATAACAAAACAAAATCTGTTGAAGCATTGGTAGAAATGGACAAGTTTTTTTTTAACTGATTCTTATCATTAGATGTGAAAAATCAGAAAAGGAGTGATGGTTTTCTGTTCAAAATATAACTGTCACAGTTTTCTTCTGAAACTTGTCATGTTTCCATCAAAATTGTTCCTAAGCACAATAAGTTTTGATCACTATGTATATTACAATACCTAGGCCAAAAATGAGATAGCTTCAATACTGCAGCATTTTATCTCATTAAATTAGGTTTGACATCCATTTGACTCAAGTCTCAGAAATAGGAATTTTTTAGCTTAACTAATAGTGTTCACAGCTCTCTGTTAAAATTCATGTGTGTCCAGAATTAGCAGCGTTAGACAGTTGTCTTTTTTCGCAAATAGAAAAGACATCCATAGAAGTTGAAAGTGAAAATTCCTAGTTTGAGGTACCTTTGAAGGAATTATGCAATTCATACATTTCTAGTATTCCAAATGATCCCTGAAAATGGCAAATCTGTCCCTTTAAATCATATTGAAAACAGCTCTATGCAAGAAAATCACTAAGCTTGCTGAGGTTTGACTTCTACTTTCAGTGGAACATAAAATGATTGTCTAGGATTCCTACTCTTACTATTTCCAATTTTAGTGTGTCAACATCTCATTATGTTTACTGTTAGAACTACTCATAATGTTTACTACTCATTATGTTTACTGTTAGAACTACCCATTATGTTTACTATTAGTACTACTCATTATGTTTACTGTTAGAACTCCTCATTATGTTTACTGTTAGCACTACTCATTATGTTTACTGTTAGAACTACTCATAATATTTACTACTTATTATGTTTACTGTTAGAACTACTCATTATGTTTACTGTTAGCACTACTCATTATGTTTACTGTTAGAACTACTCATAATGTTTACTACTTATTATGTTTACTGTTAGAACTACTCATTATGTTTACTACTTATTACGTTTACTGTTAGAACTACTCATTATGTTTACTGTTAGAACTACTCATTATGTTTACTACTTATTACGTTTACTGTTAGAACTACTCATTATGTTTACTGTTAGAACTACTCATTATGTTTACTGTTAGTACTACTCATTATGTTTACTGTTAGAACTATTCATTATGTTTACTGTTAGAACTACTCATAATGTTTACTACTTATTTAGAACTACTCATTATGTTTACTGTTAGTACTACTCATTATGTTTACTGTTAGTACTACTCATAATGTTTACTACTTATTATGTTTACTGTTAGAACTACTCATTATGTTTACTGTTAGAACTACTCATTATGTTTACTACTCATTATGTTTACTGTTAGAACTACTCATTATGTTTACTATTCATTATAAGAAACAGCCTTTTTAAGACCTTTACCCATAATTTCAGTAAGAGTACAAATTAAATCAAAAGCAAGTTTTTTCATATATACATGATATATAATATAACTTAAAACACACCCAATACATTATAATATATCTTACATCCCATTAAAACATTTCTAGCAATGTTTAAAGACTTTAACCAGTTTTTCTGTCAAATATTTTAACTTGTTGATTTATATCTTTAAAAATATCTAGGTGCATTTCTTTAAATCATAGTGTCATTAAAACATTACAAAAATGTCAATGTTTTTAAGTTTGTGGTTTTAAGTTTATGTCTATCTTGAAATCTGAAATTTGATGAACATTGTGAATGTCTGGTTCCTGACCCACTTACAGACCAAGATTAACTAGTTCATGAAAGGTGAAAAGTCATCTGCAGAAGTTAAATGGCTTGCCTATTTGCAATCCATCTTCAGTCATAATTCCAGTAGACTCAGCTGTAAATGGGTATGGATAATCTGTGAAAAATCAATGCCAAGAGGTTTGACCAATAACCGGCTGGTAGAAAGGATCCTTAACTGTGAACTGGAGTTTTTATTCTTGTAAGATATAGATGGTATTTTCTTTCTTCTTTTTTTTTCGCTTTTAGTATTTTTGAGAATCATTGTAATTTATTTCATGTTCCTTAAAAGGGAAACTCTGTACGCTAGATCTACATAAAGACAAATCTTCATCCCAGCTCAGAATGTAGCAGACTCAGATTTTAATCAGAAGACAATACTTACCAGAGAATCATCAGGAGAAAAAACACCATCAAAAGCAAACATTTTGGGTGCAGCCACTGCAGCTCTCCTATTTGAGGAGGTAATATAACCACTAGCAGCAGGATCATGTACTGTAACTTGTTTACGACGAGGATCAATGGTTAAAAAACTTCGTCCACCTTGTTCTGTTTGACCTGGTATTATAGGTGAACATATTCTTAACATCACCTTCACCTGAAATTACACAATAAAAGAATACAGTATTAGTTGAATTAATTGAAGAAGAATATCATTTCTCTCTGAGTTATATTCTGGTCATTGAGATGCATATTTCATACATCGTATGTATATAATGAACTTCACCACTTAATGTGCAATCAATACTCTTTCTTACAAACACAAGATTCTATCCATTTGATATTTCATGACCTTACAAATTAGTATTAATAGGTATTTTGGTTCCTGGAATTATGAATTAATTAGATCAGGTAAATTCCATCTGAAGCACCTATTATAGGAATAGAAGCTGAATCAACTCTTAGTTCTGTAATTAGTATATGATGAACCAGTTGATGATATCAATATGGAACTGTTATAAGGATTTCAATCGTATCTATTATCCAACATTATTTTCATAGACTTGATTGAACAAAAAATTTAAGAATTCCTTGTATGCTAGATCCAAAAAAACACATGTAACTGGCTTTCAAGCAAAAGGACTGGGCATAATATACATCTAATTAGACCCAAACAGAATCTCTATTGAAGAATTACATTTCTATCAGAAACACAGTAGAAGGTTCTCAGGTTCTCTTTTCAAAGCATGTTGAGCAATAAAAACTAGTACTAAACTAAGCACAGAAAAAAAGAAACAGAACCTAAAATCAACATGTTGTTATTCAGAGTTTCATACTATGCCTTCTTCAGACAACAGAATCACTCTACAATTCATGAATTAAGCATTATTTTAACAGTGAGAATTTTGTTGTTATTGTATGTAATAAAAAAAGCAAGTATAATGATGCGGACTGCAAAACTAAACACAAACTATGTGATAACACAAGCAAACCCTCCAGGAATGATCATAAATTTCTAAATATTTTTACCATTATTTAAACAATGTTACTTATACTAATACAGTTTTAGTTAAATATCTTTGAACAAATTGATTTGATTTCATAAAACAATCACTTTCAAATATGCAGAATCATAATCATGTACAACTTTCATTTCAATCTGTTTCTTCTTCTTTTCATAGATGTTGATTATTTAATTAAATAATCGCTCTTGATAGAAAGGTCAACTTCTTTATTTTAAGGCCTACTTTACTGCACCATGTGGGCAACGCCATTCAGGGTGCAATGAGGAAAATTTTGCCACGACAACGGCATAAGCCTGCTCTTTTTTACAATTTCCAACTGTCGAGGGATCTTTAGATGCACAGTGCCTCAGTTTATTGTCCCATCCGAACGTCAGTCCCTCTTACCTGCATCAGTGACGGGGAAACTGGGTTGAAAAATACAAAGGCCTATGTCCGGATCGAACCCTGGACCTTCAGGTTAGCAAGGAAGCGTGTAACTCACTGAGCCACCGGCACCTCAAAACAGATGAAAATATTATGTACTATTTAGTACCAAGTGTATGGTATTGATCAGAATACAGTATTAGGTTATGAGGACTATACTGTCGGTACTGAGACCAGATAATTTGATGATTGTAGATCTATAGTCTGTCATCTAATCAATCTCCTACAGTTTAAATACTTCACTTCTGTTTTCACTTTTTCTACTTAATTAGAATTCAGCTCAGTTTGGTTACATCAATTTGCAGGCAGCGTGGCACCAGTCCTCTAATGGAACTTTCAATTCATTTTTCATCCTTCTAACGGTTGTTGAGTGCAGAAATGAATGAACTGTTAAAAATCTAACATGTTTTTACCGAACTAATTTACAAGTTAATTGACAAACTTACTATAAAACAAATGATTGAATATCAGATTGCTGTGTGAAAAGCATATTAAATCATTGAATGAAATGAAAATAATACTTTATATCTTACTTTTATTCTACCAGGATAGCTGTATTAGCCAATTTCTTTCAATTGTCCAGAAAGGTTTAAAGGGATTGTAAAGAGGTTTTCTAAACTTTTTATGTGTATCGGGGACACTGACAGCTTCAATTTGCACCATTTCAATTTTCATTCCAACATCTGTGGTTCTTGCATTTCCACTAAAACTACGTCACTAGAGGGGAGCTATAGAAAGCTACTATTGCTATCTATGCACTTTCTCTCTAGTGACATCATAAAACACATTAGTTCTAGTGGAATTGCAGGAACCACAGACATGGTGCAAATTGATGCTATCAGTGTCCCTGATAAACATAAAGAGTTTACAAAAACTCTTTACGACCCCTTTAACATGCACAATACTGTAGCACACTATGCCTCAGTCTATCTTGTGTGATGCTCTAAATTGCCTTTCAAATCAAGGAATATGCTTTCATCTAGAGAAATAATTGATTTAAGTTCCAGATTCCCATCAGAAAATGTTGTGAGTTTTAATGTCTCTCTGCATACTGCCATAAGTCCATGCCCAGTTTTATGGGGATTTTCTACCTGTCCGAAGATGTGTTTTTTGTATCTTAATGATAACTGTTATGTTCGTTTTGTTGGTACCAGATGACAGTGACCCATGAACCGCAAATGCAGTTTTTAATGGCTGAAAAGAGATCAGTTTCATTTAAAAAAAAAAAGTTTGTGAAACCAAAGACGTGACATAAATGATGTAGGAGGATTATCATGGTATGACTGAACTACAAAAATATCAATCTTTCCAAATATATCTGAGTTTTTCTGATCTGATTTAAATAAATAAAAGCTGACAACTTTTAAAATAGCTACCACAGAATGGAAAAGAGGCAGATGTTACGGTTTATAATTATGACATATTATAGAAAGTTGCTGGGTAACACCACAATCAACAGACATCAACATGATTTAAATACAACCATCAAAATAAACATAAAATAATGACTTCAGAAGCACATACCAGGACAGACAAATGGACCAAGGGATAGATGTTAAATGTGATGGCCTAATTCTAACTTATAAAAAGCTGTTCATTTTTAGATTAAATTAAATATTTGTCCTTAACAACACCAAGGAGTATAACTTTTAGGTGAAAACAGATAGAATTTCCAAGCAGAAAAAATTTTGTCGGGTATTCAAAATATTGTATGAATTTAAAAAAGACCATTAGTTTATCTAAGAGAAATCTACAGTATTTAAAATGGAGAGCTAAACAGTGAAAACATAGAATAATTCTAAACATAGGAAAAACTAATATATAAGCCATTTAATCAGTCTCCAGTCATTTCCCATTCACGTTCAATTTTAATGTTTGAGAATTTTATCTGCATGACTTAATCTGTGTATTCTGTTTATCTGATATCTTTTGCTAGAATAACTCTGTGTCTGCTTCAATTAATCTAACCAAACGGCAACTACTTAAAAAACCTTCATTGGATTAGAAATGAAGAGTCATAAAAAGACTTTTGTATCAAATGTACCATCAATTTGATAACTTTGTCCTGCATAATAAATGAATCTGCTTTCCTTTGGTCGTGTCAAATTTACTGACAGTGTGACAAAGGGTTGCATAAAAAATAATTTGAATCACTGCTCACATGTCAGTAGAAACCTGTTGCCTTAATACAAACTGTTTAAATCATTGTCCAAATAATTACCAAAAACACTTTACGATAACACTATCATGTCCTAATCAAAGAGCAACTAATTTTTTTTTCAAAGTAGAAACAGAAACAATTTCATCAGGCTAATTTAAGTGGAAATCTAAAAGCAATGAAGCAAGAGTAAAAGATGACGAATATTGTCGAATTCCATCAAATCCAACAAGTATCGATATTGACACCTCTGTGATATGGTCAATACAGTTGGGAGCTGTCGATATTTATAAAAAGATAGGAGTCATATTGTGTTTTGTTGTAGAATGATGAAAGTTAAAGTGTAAAAAGATATTATTGTTAGTGTGATGTCAAGGGTTGGAAGATATTAGAACAAGTGTTATGACATGTAACCCTTTATTCAATCTACAGCTTAACATTATAATCATCTTAATGTTCATCAAATTCCATCTCTTGCCACATTTGGCACATTCACGTTAAAAAAAAGGCTTTTGAGTAATTTACAAATTATACTGACTAATCATCTATTCGACTGTTTTACTCCTTTTACTGGATGAAAACCAGAAAATTCTTCATCTAACATTATCGAGAAATACAATCATTTTTTAGTAAAGTGATTCAGCTAAGTTTATTTTTAAGTTAAGTCCTTTTTGCGCAGGGATACATTTGTTATCTGCACTATTGATTAATTTGAAAAAGACCTCAAGTAAAGGCTTCATTCATATCTTGATTAGCCTGAATGTGCTTTACATAGGTAAAAGTGTAAAAATATTTATTTCACCAATAGACTGAGCTCAATCTAAACTATCTTTGTCAATTTCATAAAATCTGAGGTCCAGTTTGTCTACAATCTTCTAATTTTGTAGTGTTGGAAATTGATGTATAAAGCACACATTTCCAGAGGCCTTATTCTCACAAACTTAAAACAAAGAAAGAAATGGGGGTGTCCAAGTTAAGATTTTGTCATTGATCCCATGTGGTTGGAAACTTTTTAATCTGATAATCCAATGAAGTTCAACAGAGCGTCTGTGGGCTGTGGATTGTGTAAGGTTTGGGTCGGTCCCAAGTTGTTTAATGATTTGGTAGTCGAGATTTTGACTGGGGTGTCTAGGTAAGTGGAAGTGAGAGGCGACTGGTGTGTCTCTCTTGTGATAAATGTCAGCAGAGTGTTCTTTCAGCCTAATGCGTAGGAAGGTAGATGAGGTTTCTACTCGTGCAGGTCCAGGTTTTGGTGCAGTTGTAGGATTTTCCAGTGACGGTGAAACAAAACGTTTTTTTTTAGCTTAAGCCTGTTGCAATATGAGCAGTTATGGATATTACAATTTTATTTACTTATCTTACCCTGGGAATTGATTGGATCTAAAAAAAATATAGTAGATATAGACTGGTCAATTTTATAACCCATAGAAACGAGCTGAATTCAGTTTACTGTGACTTAAATATTTAAGGAATAGCAACAAACTAAGGCTTTTTGAGCTTAAGCGTGTTGCAAAATGAGCAGTTATGGATATTACAATCTGT